GCAGTTGGAACCCCCGCCAAGTGAATAAAAAGGAAAAAAAAAGTAAGTAAAATGAAAGTGAAAAAAGGGGTTCCAACGGTGAAATGAAGTGAAAGAGCACCCCGGTACAACGAGTCCTTGGTTGTGAATGGTGTGAGTCCCTTTATCCATGAACTGACTGTCTTACTTCTACTTTTTTCTCATGATCCTGGCTTGAGTCTGGTACTCGCATTGAGAAAGATAGGGGACGTCTTAGAAGACCAGTTGACCTCGTAAGTTGCTAAATGATCTAGGAAGTCCTCTACCTACGATCGAGGTTGTTTGTTGCTATAGAGGTCTGGAGAGTTGCATTGGTTTGAGTCAGGTTTGCTTGGGGACAAGCAAACGGTTAAGTGTGGGGGAGTTTGATAGACCGATAATTACACATGTTTTCACCCCTATTCTGAAGCCGTTTGTGATGTGGAATCTCGTGTTTTAAGCCGATTTCACGCTAGGTTGTGTGTTTATGTCATATTTCAGGTCCCGGCGTTGGAATCGAGGCGGAGAAACGAGTTCTGGGTCGAAAGGAGCCGAGTTGGGACTAAGGGGGCTGCAGGAGGAAAATACCCGGTCAGGTGGCCATATACCCGACCGGGTATTAACCAATTTTGGGCGCCCGAGAAGCAGAGAGGGGCCCGGGCACAGCAGTTAAATCCCCGGTCGGGGATTTTGGTGGTAGACCGGGGATTTTCACCTATTGTGGAACGGTGCGCTTCAATTATACCCGGTCGAGACCCAAAATACCCGACCGGGTATTTCGACCGGGTATCGCGAGGGCAGCTGATAAAAGCCGGTTTTGTGCGTTTTTGCGAGGGAGAGCTGGGTTTTGGATCCCAAACACCCAAGGGACGAACCCTAGAGAGAGAGAGCGACTTGGGAACATTCTTGGAGCTATTTTGGAGGATTTCTTCGCCATTGGAGCTCGGGAATCAAGCCCGGACTTGAAGATTGATCATCTGAAGATTCTTACTGCAGTCTCTCTCTTCTCTATGGAGTAACTTCCCTTCACTTAGGTTTTGAGGAACCCTAGCTATGTTTGTTTGATTGGATGATTGTATGAGTACTCTGACTTGATAATCTTGAGTTCATATTCAATCTATGCATGTTTTCACGATTCAATTCTGCTTTAGTCGAGATTATTGATTCTGCTTTGATCCTATGAGAGCGAATACCTGATTAGGTCAATAGAGCACCATAGATTGATAGTAGTGAATCGATTGCTTTAGTCGAGGGTTGATTCACTGCTTTGTATCGATTGAGAACCTCATTCGATAGAGGGAATCTAGTTCAGAACGCCTTGATCAGTTGTTCTAGAGAAGGATACGTCCCTCTAGGCAATTGACTCAAGAGGGCCTTGTTCCTTTAGTCGAGACTCAAGGTCTAGTCAAGGATTCTCCGCATTGTGAATGAAAGTGAAACAAGTTAGAGATCATCAATCGTTAATCTGGCTAGTGGCTAGGGGGAATCATACCTAAGTGAGTTCCCAACCTGTAATTAGCTTAACTTTAACTGTAGTTTGCTAGAGTAGTTTTAGTTCTTTCAACTTAATCTGTTTTGCTAGATAACGAACTGAAGCTGAGTAATAGTAACTCTAGAGACCCGTGGATTCGATATTTATTACTTGAGCCACTATACTGCAGTCCCTTTCATTGGTTACACTTGGCCTTTGTTAGGAGTTGTGTTTTGGCGTGTCAGGCAGATTATCTTGCTCTTGATGGCCCGGACCCTAGCTTTGCATCCCTCATTTTGATTTTTGCATCTAACCATCAGCCTCTTCGTACTGGAATGGGTTGTGTGTCATTCAAAACTCCGAGTCATTGCTTCAGTGGCAATAGCGTGTCAGACCTCATTCTTCGTTGCAAATTGTTGGCCCTTCGTAAAGAAAATGAGTGGACCCCATACTGGCACCTCTGGCGGGTCCATGTCGGCATCCAACATACAAATATTCATTTGGAATTTGATTGTAGTACGGAATAGGTACACGCTCACGAGGTACCTCATCACCGTCTGCGTATGAATCTGGACCGGAATCATCAGCACCTTCAAGAGGATCGAAGCTGTCTGAACTGACATCGCCTTCCTCTTCTTCAACCTCAGGGTCATTGATTGGACTTGATTGACCTCTTCTTCCATCTGATGATCATCATGAAAGGCACCTTCACCTTCACCAGCTTCGTAATGGTAGTTGTGATAACTAACGCCGCTTTGGTAGAAGTTGTACTCGGGTGGGTACCGGTAGCTTGCTTGTTGGTTCCCATCCGCCTGTTGAGCTTCTTCTTCATATGATGGGAAGGATTGATGATGACCTCCAGTTCCATCATGATACTCCTGCCTCCAGCTCGAGTCTTGGTACTCCTGGTGAGGATGATCTTCGTATAATACACTCTCACCGTGGATACCAAATGTTTGGCCATCTCCAGAATGACCTACACCACCTTCGACCGCCTCGGTATAAACGAACATCTCCGCTTGTTTAATTTTGTTGGTGGTCAAAAATTGGACCATGGCATCAACATCCTCCTGAGTGGTAATGAAGAATTCCTTATTCCACAGCGACCCGCCATATCTTTTTGGACATCGATACACTATACAACTCTTCTAGTGCCATCCATCCAGGTAACCTCAGTGCACAGTTGATGGACTCTTCTAGGATAGTGCCATCCATGCAGGTAACCTCACGTACGATCAACTCTTCTAGGATTTGCCTTTTATTGACAAATTTTACACTACAAATCGCAGGGAGGAGCGGTTTTAGTATGGCATGCAGCCCCCACCTGTGCAACCTCCTGCATGCCGACATGTCGGATGTCGGGTGACGAGGCACAAACTGCTGGGGGAGGTGCGGTTTATGTGTCGACATGGTAAACCGCTTCCCTGTGGAGCGTTTTACCATGCCGACACATAAGCGCTCCCTGAGGAAGAGGTTTGTGCTAGGGCAGCGTTGAAAACCGCTCCTTCGAAGAGCGTTTTTTCCAAAATAGACCAACCGCTTGTCGACTTAGTGGTTATATGGTAAACCGCCGCTTGGGTGGGCGGTTTCTGTTTTAACCGCCCATGAGTGGAGCAGTTTTTTAATAAACAGTGGTAGATTTGGAAATTCTTGGGAATGGGTGGTATTTTTGTTATTTTTTTTAAAACAATGGTAGTTTTGGATTTTTTCCATTTATAGTCACTCGAATTAGTTGAACAGTTCAAGTTCGGTCACTCTCCGTTAACCTCCGTTAGACTCCGTTAATGACGATCGTTAAGTGATGACGTGGCTAACAGAAAATCACAGTCATCATATTTTAACACTAAAGAACGACGACCCGACCCGCCATGTCAGCCTTTCTTGCCCAACCCATGAACCAACCCAATTAATTGGCCCAAACTCAAACATGAGACCCGACCCACTGAATCTAGCCCTTTTTATAAGTCTACCCCCTCAGAAATGAATCCCTAACCATCTGTTCTCTTCCTCTTTAATTTGCGCGAGAATCGCCCCCTCCCCATCCATTTGTTCCTTTCCTCCTCCTCTCACTTCCCCTCTACCAATGATGGCACCCTTTTGTCACTGTGGAGAGCCAACATATCTGAAGACGAGCTGGACTGAGGCAAATCCAGGAAAGGTTTTATGGATGCAACAGATATGGGGTAAGGTTTCATCCACCTGTGTTTCCTTTTTTACTGTTACAATTCGACTATTATTTTGCATTTTTCATCCTTCTATTTTTTCTATGGGATGATGTGTAGACAAATGGAGCATGATACTACTTCAGATGGCTTGACCCAGCCTTTGATGAGCATATGAGAAATGTGTTGCTAAACTTTCATCGTCGAATTTGGGAGCTAGAGAAGAGGCAAAACAACGAGGTGTCCAGGTTTGATCGGAAAATGGTGTCGTTCATCATTTTAGGAGCTATTGTATTCTCTTTGTTTTGGATAGGAAAGTGATAAGTCTGTGTAGTTGTAGCCAATGCAGTCAAAATCGCGCTTTAAAGCGTAAAATCGTACGTTTCTACTTATCTAGACCACTAAAACGCTTCAGTTTGGGGATCGGTTAGCATGCTAACCCTTCTAAGGGGTTGGAAAAATGACACCCCTATTAGTTATAGTTATTTTTTGTATTAAATTCGTGTTGCATTTAATAATCTTTGGAAATTAAAAACTCATCTTAATTACATTTCTTTTTTTTAACTACCATTGTACTGATACAACTACCATTGCACCTGTATATGGAACTCGTATTAATTACGTTCCTTTTTTGGAACTACCAGTGCACTGATACATCTACCATTGCACCTGTACACTAATACCATTGCACTGATACAACTACCAGTGCACTGAAAAAAGGAAAGTAATTAATATGTGTTTTAAATTCATACAGATTATTAAATGTAACACAAATTAATTACCTTAAAAATCTATAATTAATAGGGGGTATCATTTTTCCAACCCTTTTATGGGTAGGCATGCTATCTCATCCCTTCAGTTTGTACCTAAAATCGCTTTTGACAAATAAAACGTAAAAAAACGTGAGTAAAATCGGTAAAATTGTAAAAAAAACGTTAACAACTCGTTTTCAAGTCGCTTTTATACGATTCCATGGATGCTGTTCGGCCGCTCACGGATCGCCTGTACGGCTGTACCTGTCGAGAGCTTCTATTTTTTAAGGGGTTAATTGCATGGTTGGTCACTGAAATTACAAAAAAGTTCACGTTTGGTCACTGAAAATATTTAAATCCAATCTTGGTCACTCAAATTATTTAAATGGTTCAAGTTTGGTCACTCTCCGTCCATTTTCGTTAACTCTAGCTGACGTGGCAGTCAGCTTTCATAGTTGACCGTTAAATATGTGACGTGACAATTAAAAAATTATTAAAAATAAAAAAAATCTTACATTTTCCACCTCATTATTACATTAATTAAAAAACAAAAAAATATATTTTGGCTTGAAGAACTCTCGCATCTCACCTTTCTAGGGGAAGCAACAGTTTCAGCTTCTCGGCGGCGTCGATTACCAGCGTGCCTCGTTTCGCAACACCACCACCTCCCAATCCCAAGTCGAATCCCTAATTCCCCTCGTCACCAAGCGAATCGGCGCCGTAATCGAGGACCTAATCGAATTCGGGGCCGTCAATTTCGTCGTCCCCGGGGATTTCCCCAAGGGCTGCTTCCCTTCCTACCTGACCAAATTCCAGAGCTCGAATCAGAGCGATTACGACCCCACCACCGGCTGCCTCGTCTACCACAACTCGTTCTCCGCCCGCCACAACAAGTTGTTGAAGAAGGAGATCGAGAGGATAAGGAAAGTGCACCGCCACGTCAGCATCCGCTACGCCGACTATTTCTCGACGGGGATCCGGATGCACCGGAACCCGGAGAAGTACGGGATCGTTAAGGCGACGATGAACAAGGCCTGCTGTGGGGCCGGTGGGCCCTACAACTACGACCCGGCTGCGGTCTGCAGCCGGGTCGGGGCGGTGGCGTGTGGGAACCCGAAGGCGTATATAATTATAAAGTGGGACGATCATCATTAGACGGAGGCGGCTAACAGAGTCATCGCCGGCGCTGTGTTCAAGCGTCGGTTCCAGTACCGTACTGCGTGTAAAAATCTGTTTCTTCTCCCTCATTTCCCAGAAGAAGCAGCTCTGGAATCATCTGTAGAGAGAGAGAGAGAGAGAGAGAAATGGCGTCTCCCTAGTAGCATCTTCTTTAGCCCATCTCCACAGGAAAGCCTGATTCTTTCTGAACCCAGAAAAAAAAAAATTTGATTCAATTGCGCTTCTTCTTCTTCTTTTTGGTTTCTTTAATCGAGATTTCCTTCCCACCATTTCTCCCTCGGTGTGAATTCTGGACTCAATCAACAATGATCTTCTCGGTGAGTCTTCCATTGACTAAGCTTTGATTCTTGATTGCTTTTCTCTTCTTTTCTTTTGCTGACTCTGCTTTCTTTCTTTTTTACTTTCTTCATTCCCCTTCAGTCGCTCCGCACTCACGCGTCGACGATTCTGCTCGTGATCGGCTGCTGCTCCTACACTTTCTTTGCCGACGACGATCGAGTCAAACCGCGGCGACAGGCTCTCCCTCGAAGGAACAAACTTGCCGGGGATTCCGACGGCCGGCGACGACGACCACGAAGAAGAATAGCCCGAACTTTCCTCTGACGATGAACTCGACCCTTACGAGCGATACCGCCGCAATTTAGAAGACGACCAAGGCGGCGGCGACTACGTCACTGACCCAGAATCAGATGACTACGTCTCGGATCTCGTCGGGACCGAAGAATACCGCGTCGGAGGTGGCGCGAGGAACAGGAGAGGCTGCGAGGTTCCGGTTCCCAATCGAACGCCGCAGTTGATACGTTCGGAAGAAGAAATTAGAAATTAGAAATTAGAACGGTGAGATGCGAGAGTTCTCCAAAATATTTTTTTGTTTTTTAATTAATGTAATAATGAGGTGGAAAATGTAAAAGATTTTTTTTTTATTTTTAATAATTTTTTAATTGCCACGTCACATATTTAACGGTCAACTATGAAAGTTGACTGCCACGTCAGCTAGAGTTAACGGAAATGGACGGAGAGTGACCAAACTTGAACCATTTAAATAATTTGAGTGACCAATATTGGATTTAAATATTTCCAGTGACCAAACGTGAACGTTTTTTGTAATTTCAGTGACCAACCATGCAATTAACCCATTTTTTAAGGGTAAAGAACCCTAAGGGGTTGTTTGGATTAGGAAATTTGAGGAGGGATTTTGCCACAATCCCTAGTCATAAGGGATTTGGTCACAATTCTTTGTTTGGATACAAAAATAAAAATGAGAGATTTAGGTGATTAGGAATTTCGAAAATCCTGCTATTAGGAAATTTAAAATAACTGATTGACCCCAGGTTTTTTGAAATCTCTGCTCATTTTTCCCAAACCTTCCCAATATGTCCTTCCTTATTTTTTGTTATTCCTTTCTTGCCCTCCCCTGAATAGACGACCCACCAGCCACCACTTCCCATCTCTCTTTCCCATCTGCATCTCTTTCTTCCCTCCCGATACGACAACTGCAAGCAACTCAAAAACCTAGCGACGCGGCGATTGCAGCGGAGATAAACCTCGCGACGTCGGCGACTATAGCGGAGTTTTACCAGCTCCGATCTACAGCGACGTCGGCGTTCTCCTTGAAGTGCGTCCGATCTCCATCTTCGATCTCACCAGCTTCGCGTGGGATCTGTGTTTCGCGCGCACGAGGGTAACAAGGTGGTGAAATTCAGGGCTCGGCTTTCAGGTTCGTCCTCCCTTCCTCCTTTCCCTCCCTATGCTTGAACCGTTCTGGGTCGGGGCTCTGTTTTCTGGGTTTATGTGAATTAAGAGTTTGGGTTGAGGTGCGAATGATCTTCTTCCTCATTTTGTTTGAATATATGAAACTAGGGTTCTGTATTGGTGTGAACTGATGAATCTTCTTCCTCATTCTGTTTGATTAAAGGAAACTAGGGTTCTTGATTTGGGTACGATTTGTTTCCGAACATGGGTTTCGACCCCTCAGTCCATAGTGCTAAATGGTAGGAAGGGGAACAATATTTTTACCTCTTTGTTTTCATTGAGCACAAATGCCCCAATACCAACTCGATGAGATGCATTGATAGGGAGAGTATCAGGTTCGTCTTCAGGCAGCCAAGGCACGAGCATTACATAATCTGATTCAGCATGGTGAAACCTAAACCCTTCCTGTAACCAACGGAATCCCGGACACCAGTTCATTCAATTCATTAGAAACCTAAGAACAAAAAGCCCACCCTAGAAATGAAATTTAAACCGAGGCGTGATTTTGAGTTACCTTAACTACTGAATCCACTAGGTGAGGCAGGTTCAAAAAACTGAAGAAGAGATGGCATGCAATAACATTTATGAGAAAACAAAGTGGTTGGGGATGGGACGAGGTCAATAAATGCATTGTATGTCCCGAGGGATCTTGGGATGAGTTTGAGAAGGTAAATTACAGCATGATTTTTATTTTTCTGTCCTATAAACCACTCCTTTTCTAATATAAGCTGCCATTTTCTTTCTATGTATATTGTTGTCTTGCAGAAGCACAAAAGCTGCAGAGGGTTGAACAAGAAAAGATTTCCCGTCTACGATGACTTAGCACCGGTTTTTTGCAAAGGGCGTGCAAGTGGTGAGCATGGGGTCGACACCAATGTTGTTGACGCTATCGATTTAGAGGATGACGAAACTGCACCTGTCGAAAATGAAGAAATGGATGATGTGTTGATGGATGAAATACAAGCAGAAATGGCAGCACAGAATAATCAATCTGCCAGTGTTACCGCTTCAACTGATGGTGCTCCAATTAAGAAGAGAAAGAAAAGTAAGACAGTCGATGAACACCTCGCCAACTCCAATGAGGAAATGAGAGAACTTCGACCACTCATTAAGCAATCAGTTGACACTATTGCAAGAGCACTCGGGGAGAGCGATGATCTCATTAGCAAAAGATCGAATCTGCTGAGGAAGCTGGAAGAACTTGGAGGCCTCACAACAACTGATATCATGACTGCATTGCGGAAGCTCTCTAACAATGATCGGGAACTGGTGACATTCTATTCGTTGGAGGCAGATGAATATAAGATGGCTTTTGTTAGGGGATTGCTTGGATGAAGGCGAATGATTTTAGGACAAGCTGGAATTTTTCTATATTAATGTGCTTATGAATCAAACTTTGAAGGTTGGTCTTCATGGTTGTAATCCCAGATTGTGTGTTGAGCTTTTTGGGATATACAGTATGTTTCTCTAGGCAGTAGTAAGACATGTATTATGAACAGCTTGTTATGGAACAAAGACTCGGCATTAAGAACAAAGCAGCATGTAATTCAGCAGCAACTGTTATGCAATCTTGTTTCTGTTATGCAATCTTATTTCAGCAGCAACTGTTATGCAATCCCCTGAAATCATACAGACAAAGCCTCCACACAGGCTCTGCCTCTTCGACCAGCTCACTCCCTTGACATTTTCTCCCATGATTTTCTTCTACGCCAATCCTGACCACAACAATCCCAATCATGCTTCCTTCATCCGCCGCCTGAAGCACTCCCTGGCCGAGACTCTCGACATTTACTACCCTTTATCCAGCCGGACCGGCCCAGCAAACTTGGTCATCGACAGCTTCAATGCGGGCCTCCCTTTCACTCTAGCCCATGTCGTCGATTGCCGCCCCTCCCAGTTCCTGAAACGCAAAGAAGGAGCCTTCCGACGTGGATTCCCCTGTTTTGGAGCTTCAAGTCTCTGTTTTCAATCTATTCCAATGGTTTGCTTCTCAGCTTGTTTTGGTTCCTCCAAGTGACGGCCGGCCTTTGGCTTATTGATTGGAACATCCGGTGAGCAGGGGATAGAGCTAGGACTCTGCCTCGTCTGTTTTGCTTCCAGGAAAACAGCCGCCGGTCTCGAGGATTCCAGGAGGACGCAAAAGAGACGGATTAAAAGGGTCTGCAAAGAAGAGAGTGAACAGGGCAAAATAGTAATTTTAGGTTTGTCATTAAAATCTAAATTGCTCATTGGACAATTCTGGATCCCTTATCAAACAAGTAAATTGATTCAATTTCCTTGTTTAAATTACCTGGATTTTTAAGTGCAGAATTTGGGTACAAATCCCTTATGAATCCCTCAAATCAAAATGCTTAATCCAAACGACCCCTAAATCGAATCTTGTAGCACCAGCTTAAACTCAACAGCCGCTGCTTGACCCTCTACCTCATCCTCCTTAACTCCTTAAATCTTCGCCGGCGAAAGTGGAACTAACCTAGACGGCAAGTCTCCGACCAGGCCTCCGCCCTCCTGTCTACGACACCACAGCAGCTCCGACCCTCCTCTTTCTCCACCGCAGCTACTGTTCTCCACCGTAACTCCACCTGTCACTCCTTCTGGCTGCCGCAGCTGCAACCTGCAAGGTTAGGTTAGCTTCCTTGAATCTTGAAAGCTTCTGTTTGTCTCAACCGCAATTGCAAGCTGGGTTTTTGAAGCATTTATCTGCTTTTGCAGCATCGCTGTTCTGGTCACGTTTCAATTGTTTCCCTGTTTGTGATTAATTAATCTTTCTAGGAAGAAATGGCAGCAGCTTGTAGATTCCCTTTCATTGGCCTGTGCTGCTTGTTAGTTTTTTGTTCTTTGGGGAGAATTTCTAGCCAATTTGATCACCAAAATTCTAGCCATTTTTTTTTTGGTTCAAAGTAAAGGATTCGTTTGGTTATCTTATTCTGACCTCTTTAAGAGGAAAGTTTAGTTCTTATGGTGGTGTTGATGAACTATTGTGTAACACTTTATCGTAATTATTTAATAAAGAATATTACAATGCGAATATATATTCACATTTTATATTAGACATGTCCTAATTAACATATTTTTAGGTATTCTATACGATGCATTAAAAACTTACGTTTTTATGCTTCGATTTTACGCTTTATGATTTTATCTATTCTACGTTTCTAGGTAAAATCGCGCTTTTAACTGCATTGGTTGTAGCCATTGTAATCTATTGATGTGTAGCTGGTTTAGTCGAACGATCTGTCTAGTTGTTGACAATGTGTAACCTAGTATTATCAATTTCAGCTATGGTCGCTTGAATTGCTAAATTGTTTCATGTTTGGTCACTTGAATTGCTAAATTGTTTCATGTTTGGTCACTTGAGTTGCTAAATTGTTTTGTGTTTGGTCACTATAATCGGAAATTTGTTTTAACTTTGGTCACTATAAATGGAATTTTTTTTTAACTTTGGTCACTTTAATTGCAAATTGGTTTCATAATTGGTCACTCATAGGTAGCAGCACGAATGGAACAACAAGGCACGTTTTTGTGCAAAAGAACCTTCCAATGTACTGGAAGATTGATAAACCTGATGGTCATTCATAAAACTTATAGTCTTACAAGGTCCAAATGATAATTATAGCCTCGAGGACAATGTTTTTCCAAAAGAGCAATTCACCATGACTTAATAGGCTAGATAATACGACAAAGCAACATTCAACGTCAACATTTACTAGCCAATTGGAGGCTTCAAAATGGTAATTATCATTTGGACCTAAACTGCAACTAATCTTCACTCGTTCTCTTGAGTCACTTGGCATGCATTTTGCGATCATCCACATCCTTGGCTGAGCTGCTGTGATGCCTGATCACTGTAGAACCTGTGTTGCTCCTCCTCAATTCCTCGGCCTAGTGGTATAGTCCTCGAAATTGCTCTCTATAACTGCCCCTAACCTGATCAAGAGCGGCCCTTCGAATCCTCCATGCCTTTGAATCCAATACATCTTCCTTAAAGTCTTCCTTGCAGATCTGTTTGAGCAGCCCTTGCTCATATTCTTGTCTGCTGCCATCTTCCTAGCAAGTTTCTCACCTAGAAACTTGGCAGTTGCAAACTTCACCTGAAAAGTCCACTGACAATCTGTAGAATGTTGTAGCTTGCACTTATTGATATGTACTGCATCTGTAAGAATCATCTTGGAGGCCCATATATACCAATCACATGGATCATCGCATACTGCATGCAACCTCCTCTTGTCGTTCTTCTTGAAACGAATAGGGAGCTTTTCCACAAAAGATGTTGTTTTATGGCATCTTTCAACTCATCGAAACTGCCAAATCTTTGAAAAACATCGAAAGTAGGGCTCTCCATGTCTCTCTCAGCTCGAAAATCCTCCACCTGATGACTGTCCTCATCTTTATCTGAGCTACAAATTGTCCTTCGATCATCTGAGTCGACATATGAACTCTCTTCTGCCTCTATGCTAGTCTTCTTGCACTTCTCAATTTCGTCTTCTTCGGTGTAGAAATTTGCTTCAACATCTGCAGCTACGCTTCTTTCAAATTGCAGATTGTCATCTATGCTAAAGTCCTCCTCCTCTTCACTAGCCTCATAGTCACTGTCATCTTCTTCCTCATAGTCTGCATCATCACCCGAGTCACGAACAACAGCTTCTTTACCCTTTTTACCCTTGGTGGCAGCTCCATCTTCTTCCTCATCACTGTCCATGAACTCAACAATGTCTTCCTAAGAGATGGCATATAGTACGATGACCCTCACTTCTTCATTTGCACTTGTTGATATGGCGAGTATATCTTCATCGAACGTGATCTCTGACATAGTATCAGTTGAAGGAGAGCTCAAGAAGAACTTCGGCTGATCAATCTTCACTCGACATCTTTGTATATGTCAGGCAGATCAAGCGTTGATAACTCATCAATATCTGCATAGTCCCAGTAGACTGTAGACTTCTCATTGAGAATATTCTTGCCACCCTTCTTCTTTAATGCTTCTGATAAGTGCACTTCAAATGTAAACACTCCACTAGAAGCACCTGTTGCAAACAACGAAAGAGAGAATGAGTGATTAAAAGTGACCAAAGCAGTAAAGGGGCAGAGGCAGTCTAACTTCTTTAACCCAACAACTAGTATTAAAAGCAGGAAAATGACATGTCAACCACTTCAATGCTGTTGGTTTTGGTATTTCTCAAAAACCCTAATTTTCAATTCAAAAAAAAAAATGTTGTCCTTTACTCCAATAAAGGCCAGATGTGTGAGGAGATAGTTGACACACCATATTTCGGTTGGGGCGCATTTGGTGCACGCACATGACTCACCATGGTGTTGTCGTGTAAGGCTGAGCTGGAAAAACAGACAAGAACGACCTCCACTATCAGTATAAACAAAGGTAAAGTTCCATCCCCAAAAGATTCCCCAGGACAACGACCCCTCATCTTTTCCGCATCTCCAGATAAAAGCGAGAAGAAGCAAATACGTGTGAATTTTTACCTTTAAAACAGGAAGGGGCTTCTTCTGTCTCCTTCGTCAACCACGTCCAGAGAAAAGAAGTGCTTCGATTTAGGGTTTCGGGGCTCCGATTTAGCATTTCGCGTCGGGTTGCAATAGAGGAAAAACTAGCAGCGTGCGATGAAGAAGAGACGCGGGAGGAAGATATTGGGGGAAGGGATCCAGGGCGGCAGCGCGGCGGCCTCCATCCCTCCTTCTTCGGCGATTTTCAAATAGTTGAGTGAGGAGAGGCGTGCCGCGGGAGGATGAGAGGACGATGGAGGAAGGGAATGTGCCCTACCCTTTCCTGTTTCGATTTACTTTTCAGGGGGGTCCGGTCTCGGGTTTGGGTCAATTAATTGGGTTGGTTCGCAGGGTGGGCAAGAAGGGCTGACATGGCAGATAAATATGAC